CACATCTTTATGACATACTGTAGAATAAAAAAGGCTATGGAATACTTTGTAAATATAATTCCATTATTAAATAAACATTCGAAACGAAGGTGCCCATATCAATCCATAGACAGAAGTGTAGATAAATACAGGTTGTCTACTCATTACCCCAAGTGACATTTGAGTTGCAAAACAGCGCCTGATACGCGAGCTCCAGCCTTCCCAGCCGACACACCAAGTGCTCGCCTGTGCACAGTCCACACACATCATCAGCAAACAGGCCCCAGGCCACCAGCACCCAGCCTCTGGGTCCAGCCGCTTCCTCCAGAGAAGGCTTCTCTGCACAGTGTCTAGAACAGACCTCGACACCCCAGTCAGACTCGATCCCTCTTCTGCTCAGAGCCCTCCAGCTCCCCTCCCCATGCACGACAGGCCAAAGCCTGCAGCCGCCCATCTGGTCCCTGAGAGCCTCAGGTGGCTCCCGCTGGTGACCTCCCCTCACACGCCCCATGGACCCCTCCCTGGCCCCGCAGGTCCCGACCTCTCAGTGAGGCCCCCTGACTGCCCACAGCAACTCGCTGCCTCTGCTCCTCCCCACCCTCTCCTGGGTCACCCGTCTGCTGATACAAGCTCCAGGAAAGGGTTCCTCTCAGTGTGGCCCCGGCTCCCAGTCGGCGCCCAGTGCACAGCCAGCCCCAGCGGGTGCTTCCCCAGCGAGTGGAGTGGATGGGTGCTGTGCAAAGACTGTGAAGCGCTCAGTGTCCTCTGCTTGCCTGGGCTACGAGGCTGCAGAGCCCAGAGCCGCGCTCCCAGAGGCTCACAGAACAGCACCCAGCTGCTGCCATGCAGCTGTGCCCAAGCGACACCTGAAATGGGGAGGAGGACATCCACCCCTCGGGCCACAGAGCAGGGACGAGCGCTCAGGGGTGGGAGCTGTCCCTAGAGCCCAGGCTGGGTGGTGTTGGCCGTGGGGCTCACTAGCCCCCGGCAGGAGGCCTGGGCCCCGGAGTGAACACCTGCAGCAGCTGTCCCACAAAGCACCCTGCCTAATGTGTGTGTGCAAAGACACCTGTGCGCAAAGACACCTGTGCAAGAAAAGGGGGACGCAGCGGTGCCCGCAGCAGCTAGGAGAGGGGGTGTCCACCTCTTAACAACACACCCTGCGGGCTCCGTTCTCTCTGGCATTTTCTTCACAAGCCACTCAACTTCTGTAAAAAAAACCTGCATGATGATGGACCAGAAAACGGAGCAAAGTAGAATCTATTGATATTTTCCTCTTGGATCTGGTGCCGTCCCAACCACCTGTGCTCCTTCCGCTGGGACCAGCCTCGCTTGCACAAAGCCCACCCTCCAGACCAGAGCTTGGCATGGCTGCTCCGTAGGCCTACGAAGCTCCAGTCCCCACCGCCCCCAGTCTGGGCCCGAGACACCATCCTATCCGGCCTCCAGTCTATCTGTCCAGAAGGTCTCGAGAGTCCTGGTGGTCCTCCTTGGAACCCCAAGCTGGCCACCCGCCAAGGCCACCTTCCCAAGCGCCGCTGAGCCCTAGCCTCAGGTCACCTTCCCCGCTTAGCCCAGCACTGGCGGCCCCTCCCCAGACACCTAGCCATCCTGCTGCTTCCGAGTGCTAAGGGGAATGCCTGCCACTTTTATAATGAGGAGGAAATAATATCCACATAACAAACAAACAATTTTGAAAAACACAATCAGAAGAGCCACTGCACAGAAAAAGATGAAGAATCGCCTCCCCCATCCTGAATGCAGGTCCAAACATCTCTCCTTCTTGGTCTGGTTTTCACTTGTTTTTCTCGCAGCTTTTCCTTGGTGTATTCCCTTCCTCTCAGCTGTCAGAACCCTCCATCTCAGGGAGAAACAAAGGGGGATTCTTTTTTGGTTTTGGGGTGTTTTTTTGGCAGCTGGCGGGTATGGGGATCCAAACTCATGACCTCAGTGTTATAAGGCTAAGTTCTAACCAACTTAGCCAGTGAGCCAGCTCCGAAGGGGGATTCTATTGTCAGCTTTGTGTGGCTCTTTCTTGGCCTTTATCTCTTTCTTTTTGTTTTAGTGGCTGGCTGGTACAGGGATAGAACCCTGGACCTGGGTACTATCAAGCACCACGCTCTAACCGAACAGCTAACCAGCCATCCCTGTACAGGGATCCAAACCCATGGCCTTGGTGTTATCATCACCGCACTCTCTCAAGTGAGCCACGGGCCGGCCCCAAAGAAAAACATTTTTGAACACCACCAGAGAAACAACACATTACCTATTTGAGAATAACTTGAATATCTGGACTTTCATCAGAAGCCATGCGGCCCAAAAGGAAGGGGCACATTTTTCGAGTGCTGACATATGAGAGCTGTCCAATCAGAATTACACACCCAGCAAAGACGTGCTTCAGGATGAAGGTGAAGCAGAGACATTCTCAGATGGAGAACTGAGAGAATCTGTGGCCATCAGACCTTCTCTCAAAGAACTGCTACAGGACAACCTTCGGAGATGACACAGGAGGACGCTTGAGATGCCAGGAGTGAAGGACGGGCAGCAGAAATGGGAACTGTCTGGGAAGATGCCGCAGACTGTCCTCTTGAGTTAAAAATTATGTCTGACGGCTGAAAGCAAAAGTTACGACACCGTCCAAGGGGCCTTCAGTGTACACAGAGGGAATAGTTAGGACAATCGTGTCATAAACGGGGAGAATAAAGCGACCCGAACGGTGATGAGGTTTCCACGTTCCACTTAAGGTGATAAAACGTTGATGTCAGTAGACGAGGATGAGTATGGATGCTGTAATCCCACAGCGACCCCTGAAGATATTATGTGAAGAGACATAATGGAAACCACAGCTGGTAAATGAAAGTGGAATACTCAAAAAAGTTCAGGTAACATAAAAGAAGACAGGAAAGAAAAAACAGAGTAATACTAAAAATAAAAGTGGGGGGTGGGAAACAAAAACATAATAAAATAGCAGACATAAAGCCTAACAGAATAATTACATTAAATATAAAGGGCCTAAACACACAGGTTAAAAGATGAAGACAGAAGGAATGACGAAAACACAACCCAAGTACACGCTTTCTACAAGAAACTCACTTCAATGTAACAGTTCGGGAAGGTTCAAAGTAAAATTTAAAGAGATATATCAAGTGTTAAACAAGGTCTCCCCAAGTTCCATTTCCACCTTGGACTTCAGAATGTGACCTTACTTGGAAATTGGGTTTTGCAGATGTAATCAAATTAAGATGAGGTCACCCTGCCTTAGGGCTGCACACACTGTTTTTGTCCACTGATTTGTTCCTCCAATACACATTCAATATTGCGCACAACGTCACAGCTGTGAAAAACAGTCTCCTGCCCTCATGCAGCTCATGTGTCGGTGCAGGAGAAGCCACAGATGAGCTAACTGGGAAGGCTGTGTCATGTGTTGGGGTGACAAGAGCAGAGGAGAAAATGAAGCAGAAAAGGGGAACTGAGGGCACTGGGGGTGGGCAGGGAGGTCAGGGAGGCTGTGCCAAGAATGTGGGTGCAGGACATGTGGGGGCAGCTGGCTTTCTTGAGGGGTGCTCAGGCAGAGGAAACAGTGGGCACAGAGGCAGGAGGCAGGAGAGGGCAGTGCTCACGAAACAGCGAGGAGGCCCTGGAGTGACACAGTAACATCAGAGATCTGCTTATTCATGCTTATCACAGGACAGACACTGCGTGCTCTAACTCTCCCACTAGGGCTGACTCAGATCCACTCCTACAGCATCTTTTCCCAGAAGTTTCAACCCGTTTCTTCTTTCTAATCAGCTGACAAAGCAGGGGAGGTCCACCACATTCCTCCTTTTCACACGCAGCAGACCTTCCCTCCAATGCTGCACACACTGAGACATATCTTAGCAAAATTCTTCTGGCACTGCCAAAATCGAAGTACTCTCTCTACCCTGCCCTGCCCAGAGGTGCCCCTGTTGGGTGCTCTGGGGCCTTTCCTGAGGGTTGGGCAGCCCCACAGCCCAACGCCCCAAGCTGCCCCAGTGCTTCTGCTCTGGTTTCTGTGTCTCATCTTCCCTCCAAGGCCAGGTGGGGCTCTGGTGCAGGACTAGGCTCCAGGGTGGGGAGGGGTTCTGGGGTAGGGATGTGGGCTGGGGTGGTTGGGGCTCCAGGAAGGGCAGGACTCCCACATGGCTGCCTGGGGTGACCCACCTCTCACAGGTCCCTGTTGGAGGCTGCCCAGGATCTTCTCACCCAAGAGATGGATCAAGCGAGTCACCACCTGGGGGCAGAAAAGGAAGAGTGGTCCCCAAACTATGCATTTCAAACCACGAAAGGCTGGGGATTAAAAGCTCCACAGTGATGCTCAGGAAGTGACAGGCCTAACCCTAACCCTGTGCCTGCTTTTTTACTTGCCATAAACTGCGGGCTGCTGTAGGCTCTAGAGGGAGCCTGCATGGGCCAAGCCAGCACCTTTCTGATTTCCGGGAAGGTGGGACTTGACTCTGAGGGGACCCGGTGATCACCCAGCCCAGGGTGACCGTGGCAGGACAGACGTGTGAGGGGCATGTCCTCTGGGACCTTGAGCCCAGTCCACCTCTTGCTCTCAAGTCCAGGGGCAAACAGACACCACCAGAGGAAGCACCATGACCACAGAGGCAGGACAAGGACAGGCTGGCGTGGCCTCCCCACAGCTGAGACCTCAACTTGGCCAGATGCTGTCTGCCTGAGTGGACAACCCTGCTCCAGGAGAGAGCTGGGCACGTGGGCTGGGGGTTGGAAGATATCCAGAAATTACTACAGTTTTAGATATAATAATGTTATTTTTGATTGCATTAACATTAAATTTTTAGAGTTGTAAACTAAAGTATTTCAAAATATCTGCAATTTACTTCTTTTTTTTTTTCTTTTCCCTTCTTGTCTTTTTTTGTGACCGCAACCCTCGGTGTCGCACCCACACCACGCTCAACCAGTGAGCGGACCGGTCTCTATACGGGATCCGAACCCTCAGCAGGAGCGCCACCACGCTCCCAAGCACCGCACTCTACCGAGTGCGCCACCGGGCCGGCCCTGCAATTTACTTCTTAAAATGCATTTTTAATTGACAAATACAAATTGTTATAATTTCTTTTAAAGGCTTTCATATAAAAATAAAGTGAGTTAAATGTGTTTTGATCGCTAAGGTTTACAAGACGACAGAGGAGTGTACAGGCAGTGTAACTGCCATTGCCTCTAGCTGCAGCGCAGGATCGTCTGAAAAGAGAAGCTGCTGCCCGCTGCAGTAAAACCTAAGTCATCCAGGACAGCAGGCGGAAGGCACAGAGGGTCGGCCGAGGGGCCTCTTTCCTCACGCTGCCCCACGCCTTCCCGTCCAGTCTTCTTCCGGACCCTCCACCGCCCCAGAGTGCAGTGTCCCTGCTGAGAGGACTGCGAGGTAGAAGCAGCTGTCAGAGCACAGCTGTCCTCAGTCCCTGGTGACCAACGTGGGCCACCCACCAGCTTAATATCCCCTGGAGCCTAGAGTCAAAGATCCATGGAGGATGCCAAGGAAAGCATCCAAATTTTAGGATATGAGACAAAACACAGTTTGAGCAGAGGAGTCCAAAACAGAAGCTAAAAGGGAGTCTGGTTTATATGCAACTAATCTAGCATCAAACTGTTAATTGGGGCTAATTTTTAAAAACTGCATTTTCTTATGGAGAATTTGAAACACACAGAAGTCAGAAGGAAGAGCAGGTGGACTGGGCTCTGCCCTCACTCAGCTCCAGTAATCTTACTTCACATACAAACGTGGCGTTTTATCCATTAATACTTGAATTTGCATGTCTAGAAGGTAAGAACTCTTCAAAACATAACCATAGTGTAATTTTCACAATTAAAAATCAATAGTAATTCCAAGTTAGAGCAGTTTTTTAAATGATTATTTTGACATCAAGTTGATATTGTTTCAAAATAGACATGAAAAGGTACACAACATCTTTAGTCATCTGGGAAATGCAAATTTAAATCACAATGAGATATCATTTCCTTCCCAAAAGAATGGCTAATATCCAGAGACCAGAAGAGACCACCGAGTGTGGGCAGCTCTGTGGAGCCGTGGCACGGACAGAGCAGGTGGCGCTGGGACAGCTAACATCCACCTGATGACCCCTCAGCTCCACTCAGGGTACTCCACAAGGGAGATGAAAAGTCTGTCCATGAAAACGTTTGTGCAAGAACGTTTTTAGGAGCCTTACTCCTAACAGCCCTTAACTGGAAACAACCCAAATATCCATCAACAGGAGAATGGATAAAAGGTTGTGGTCACAACAAAGTGCCCCTTGGCAATAAGAAGGCCGCAGCAACGATAAAACCACGCGGGTCTCTGAAATACCACAAACACCACGCCCAGCAAAAGAAGCCACACACAAGGCACTGCCGCCTGCATTATTTCACTCATTCAAAATCCAAGAACAGACGGGGGTTGGAAAGTGGTGTTTGAGGGCAAGGGGCTGACTGGCAGCAGCCCCACCATGGAGCTTCCTGTGCTGGAGGGTCCTGGGGCAAGGCCAGCCGGCCGCCTGCTGTGAGCTGCGTCCTGTCAGTCACCCAGTGGTGACCTGCGGTGTCACAAGGAGAGACCCCTCCGCAGCTCACACCACACCCGGGGCTGCTGCTCAACTTGCCCACAGAGGAGAAGGGAAACCCAGCACTGTCCCTAGTGGTCAGCGTGGGTGTCGCACCAGCTGGAAGTGGGCAGTATGGTCTGGTGTGAGAAAGACCTTCCCAAGGCAGGAGACAGTGAGACTGGAAGGGTGGAGACAAGAGATGGGAAGGTTTCTGGATCCATGGCAGTGGCCATGAGTGGACCATGGTCCCACCAGGGTGGGGGAGCACAGCTGGCCTCTGCCCTCAGAGCTCCAGGACTGGCACGTGGGGTCACCAACTGGGGTCGCGTGGCCACTGCTGGCACAACTCACAGAGCGTGTCTCCCTCCAGGAGAGCAGTCACCCCCTCCTTGGTGTGGCTGGCTCACAACGACCCTGCAGAGAACCACAGCCCACCTAGAAGCTGCTGGCCGGAGGTGAGGCCCTGCCCTCCGGGCTGTGGCGACACCCTGGGGTCCCACAGGCAGATTACAGGCCTGAGCCCAGCAGGTGGAGGAAGAGCAGCGCTGTCTGCACATCCACATGCCCTGCAGCTGCACCCTCGGGCTGTGTGGCCTGCCATCCACTCGCAGGCTCTGCCAGGCTCTCCTGGGACTTCAATGGGCACCCACAGCACCCTCGGTTGTCACCCTTGTCAGAAGCCCTCAGAGACCGGAGTCTGGGTCGCCCTTGGGAGGCGTGTCGGGAGCGGAGGGAGCCGGCAGTCCTGTGGTAAGCCTCAGGAGGTCTGCGCAGGGCAGGGGTGGCCTGGGAGAGGCCCGGGAAGTGCCGGGGGCCACGCCCTCCCCCACCTTCCCATCTGCTGCAGAACAGAAGCGTTTCTGGGACATGTGCATCATGTGCTGGCTGAAGGTCGAACAGACCTATGCCTTCAGAGCCACTGCAGCCGGTCCTTTCCCCCTTGCTAGGGGCCCGTTCCTCTGAGCAGCTACATCAGTTACTGCAAGTAGAGCAGACCACCAGGAAAACCAGCTGCAGCCCCGGCCCTGAGATGAAGCACAAACTCCCCTCGCCCTGCTGCTGGGACTGCTCACCACTGCCTGCCCCCTTCGGGTTCCAATTCCACCTCTCCTGAGCCACACCCAACGAGGAAGCCCCACTCTGCCTAAACCAGCTCTGATCTGTCACTTTCTTCAAAGGCATCCAACCTGCCTGCTCCAGGTTGTTTTCATCTGCACTGAGACTGAGTTGTCACCTGAACTTCAGGCACAGCTCGGAACAAGAGCCCTGCACCCCCCTTACCTGCGGATACCTGCGCTTGATGGCCGTCAGGGCTCTGGCCGGCAGCTTGGCCAGTTCTGAGTCCCGAATAGCGTGCACTGTGGTTGCCCTGGCCTGGTGGGTCAGCGTTTCCACCTGAGGAAGAAGAGCGAGATGCTGGGACCTCAGTGCTCAGGCCATGCCAGCTGCACCTGTCCAGAGGGCAACAGCAGCATGGCAGCAAAGGAGAAAGCCCCACCACTGAGCCCTCGACTCCACATGGTGGAAGCAGCCAGGGAGCTTCTGACAGAACAGATGGTTGTGCCATCAGAACGTGCTGAAGCCAAAAATGTGCCCAGCAACCCAGACAGATCCCAGTGCAGGCGCTGGCCACAACAGGCTGTCACCAGGGCAGCCTGAATACTCAGAAAAAAGTGCCTTCGGAGAAGAGTCCAGCCCTCCCATGACAGAGCCCAAGCGAAATGTCACCTGGAACCTGCAGAAGCCCTGTTGTTGGGTACTGAGGCATCTTGTTGGGTATGCAAATTTTCACCTAGAAGACGGCAGCTGGAGCCACCAGGCTGCACATAGCACCACTGTGGAAGACACTGGCCCAGAGCTCTTGTGAGCGCTGGGACAGGGTAGGAAGAAACGGCCCTGAACACACGCCTGCCGAGACACCTCTAGCCTCAGGGGGCCACCCAGAAGACCCCTGGGGCTTCCCCACACATTGTTTTAAAACTTTAAACAAGTTAGCAAACGTCCCAGGCTGTGGCATCTTGTGGCTGGTCAGCTGTAGCTCTCATGGAGGAATGCGCTGGTGCCGATGGCCCTAGCAGGCCTGGATCAGCCACCAGCTGCTCTCCCTGGAGCCCTTTGGGAGATGACTGCTGCTGCTACCTGTCCGCCAGGGCTACAGCCTGGGCTGGGAACAAGTGCGCATGGAAACCAGGGATGGGTGCCCGGAGGCAGCGACAGGTACTCAGCAGCCGACCCAGCAGAGGCCGAGCCTCAAGCTCAGCATGGACTCCTTCAGGTTGCTTCAAGGGCTTTCCCCCCAGGCCCAGGTAACTGGCCAGGCCACATCCAGGAGGTCACCCAAGATGTCACCCAGGAGAGATGCAGCGAGCAGGAGTGGCAGGCAGCAGGGAGCCGCACGCCTACCATGCCAACGAGGTCACCACGGCCACACTCCCCCGCCAGGCGCTTCTTCCCGTTGCCCTTCCGGACCACAGAGCGCAGCCGGCCGCTGAGGACGATGTATGTGCAGTCGGACTTGTCCCCCTGCCTGCAACACATACACAAGCCCTGGAGGCCCTCAGCACAGCGCCCCAGCCCCAGACCCTGCGTCCCAATGGCCAACTGGACCTCGGGATGCAAAAAAATCAAAGAATGGAGTCTTCTTGCTAAATTTGTTTTTGTTTTGAAAAATACAGTTATTTTTCGTTTAAAAATACTTATTTTAACAGGTATGAGTTTATTGTTAGTTTTAAATAGATAAATATTCTAAAATCTCCTTAGTTTTAATTTTTTTTTCCTTTTTGTCTTTTTTAGTGACCGGCAACGGGATCGCAACCCTCGGTGTTGCGCCCGCACCGCACTCAACCAGTGAGCAGACCGGTCTCTATGTGGGATCCGAACCCTCGGCAGGAGTACCACCGTGCTCCCAAGCGCTGCACTCTACCGAGTGCGCCACCGGGCCGGCCCATTAGTTTTAATTTTTAACATCCTTTTTTTTTTGTCCTTTTTTGAGACCGGCTGCACCGCGCTCAGCCAGTGAGCACTGTGAGCGCACCGGTCATCTCTATATGGGATCCGAACCCGCGGCGGGAGCGCTGCTGCTCTCCCGAGTGCGCCATGGGCTCAGCCCAATTTTTAACATCCTAAAAACTGATAGCTGCCACCCAGGCCTGCCTGTGACCTGGGGGAGTATGATGCGGAACGCAGCCTCTCGGACGCGTGAGGACATGCTGTGGCGTGGAGCTAGGGCAGCCGGCTCTGCAGGGTACCCAGCACGCAAGTACCTCAGTGCTGTTTCTAACGTGGCACTTGTGGGTCGTTGTGAAGGAAGGATGCCAAGAAAACACGCACGTGTGAGTGTGCACAAGTGTGCGCAGAGCCCTGGAGGCTGACAAAGGACACTTCTCAGAGAATCTCAGGGGTGTGGCTGAGGAAGTCTGTCCCTCACTGGTGCGTTAGCGGCACTGTTTTCACAGCCACTGCAGCACAGGGTCCAGAGTGAGAGAAGGGTGCCTGGGGGCCTCACCTGCATGCCCCACGCCATGCCCACAGGCCTCACCTGTATATTGCACGTCCGGCCTCCACCTCCACCCAGTCCAGAGCAAAGTCAATCTGTCGCACAAAGGAGGACATCCTCTGCACAACGGTGTGCGCGACACCCAGGACAACCGTCGGCTGCTTCTGCATGATTCTGCTGAGGGAGCCGAGAGTCACTCCAGCCGTCCCCCCCCCCCCCCCCCC